GAGCTGCCTCTCAGAATGAGTGGGATTCAGGAGCTTCAGGGTCATGTTTCCCCAACAGCATGGGCTGGTTCTGCCTGGTGCCATGCCTCAAAGGGACATCTCACTTGGCAGGTGCAGGCTGAACCACAGACAACAGAAAGAAAGGATTTACAGTAAGAAAGAATTTGCAGTAAATATTGCATGAGGACTGTCTTAAGCATTTTTAGGTGTTTGGTTCAAGTTCTGAGGATAAAGCTAAAAAATTTTACTTCATCAACTTTATCCCTATCTTGCTGCCTGAGACTGTAGGGGGGTTTTAGTTTGGTGCTTTACAGGTATTCCAGCATGGTGTCATAGAAGTGGTAAAACATGAGACAAGCTTTCTTTAAGCAAGTAAAAGATAGGTTTCTGTTAAACCATCCCAACCCTTTTTTTATTGATCTACATTTTGAGTGCTGTCCTGGCTCTAACTTTTCCTTTCTTGATATGGTTGTTGGAAGGTTGTCATGGGGCAACCCTAGTTTGACATTGTACTTCCCGGTCTTGCATTTCTTCCCCTCTCAGAAGCTGAGTGAGGCACACAAGCTCTAGATCTGTTAGGGGATGAGCAGCTCCTAGAGGTGACCATAGAGGTCAAAACTGCAGGCAGATTCCTTGATCTATCGGCAGCTTTTGATCCATTTGATCAAGAAACATTATTGACCTGTTTGTGAATGGCTGTTGTCTGAATATCTCTTTTGGCAGTTTGAAAGGGGGGTGGGTGAGAGAAATCAGGGGTGATGCTGGCTTGTTTTTGACTCCTATCCTATTGCTATCCAAAGTCTACTTTTTGGGGGAGAGCCCATGTGGACTATGTAACTATGCCTACACAGATAACTCATGGTCTGCCTCTGCACGTCATCTCTCTGACATGGACTTTGTCACAGCCACATGAGGCATCAGATCTGAATTGCAATTTCTCAGAAACCTCAGCTGGTTCAGTATCAGGCCATGACTCAGCAGCACTTGTTATGAGGAATGTGGTCTCGCAGACTTTGCTGCTTCCAAATTGATTTCAGGTGCACGTCACACTGTCAGCTACACAAAATTTTCTCTGTTTTTTTTTTTTTTTTTTTTCATTTCTGGATGCTGAGCATTACTAGACCGTGACCAATAGGATAAGTGGAAATCTCTTATTCACTGATGTGTACTTTGAATTGCCATTCCCAAAACGGAGGCAGTAAAGGAGGATGATCTGTGCCTCACTCATCAGCTACTTTGGGGAAAAGTTAGTATCTCATCTTCAACTGTCACTGAAGATTGGTTCATTCTGGACGTTGTATGGAAGCAACTGAGGTGCAGGCATATGTTCCCTTCTGCTGACTTGGCTGTGGTGATGCTAACCACAGCCAGCAAAGAAGAACGAGCAACTGGTAACAGTAACATCTCAAACTGCAGCAGAGTGATTGGCCAGACCGCTCCTGTCAGCACTTGTATTTCCTTGCTGTTCATTGAAGAATTAAAAGTTAACTGAGGGTGGTGGCAAAAAATAGGTTTGCCTGCCTAGAAAATGCTAAAACCGATACTGAAAAGCAGAGGTGGATCTGAAGGTAGTTATCTCTCTTGGAATTTATATGGGGATTAAAACACGTGTCATCATTGTAGCATGTAGGCAATTTTATAATCACTGCTGGTATTTCACCTCAGGGTACTCTGTGGGATGAAGAATTAATTTTCCATCTTTTTCTAAGGAATAAAGGCCTGTGATATTCTGTCAGTCATAAAGGAGAGTTTGCAGCCAAACTAGATGCTTTCTGGCCCTCAACGGTGATTAGACGGTCTGGGATTAGTAAGGGTGTACCATCACACCACTGGAAATCAAACTGGGGAAACGTGTGCAGAGAAACACCTCAAGATGTTACATGGCCATTCACTTCCACATCAACAGGAAAAGACGCTACAAGGCTATGCAAAGCATAAGAAAAGCTGATGTGCAAAGCAGTGACTGCAAAATTAAAATATAGGATGGTTTACTATATGCAACGTCTTTCCTTCACCCCATCTCTACCTGTTAAAGACAAGAATCTTTCTTAGTGAAAAAATACCTCATCTTCAGTACAAGGCAATTTATACTTTTTGTTGTTGGTTTTGTTTGGTTTTTTTTTTTTTTTTTTGCAGGGGGTTAAAGTGGCATGTTTGCACAACACCAACCCTCACCCCAGCAAACCTGCCAGCAGTTGATAGATATAAATAGGGACATTTAGGGAGAAAAGCATATTTACGTTCCTTTGAAATGTGCTTGGCTAAAGGCATATTTTTAAGAGAGGGAGTGGAAAAACAAATGGAAAATATTTTCTTTGAAAGGGAAAAAAAAGCAACAAACTGTCCTTCCTAAATAGAGATGCTTGGCTGATGTGTACTTTACGCAGCTGTAGGTCAGACCTTGCAAACAACTACTAAATTAGGTCCAGCTACTTTGATGCTAAAAGCATGGAAGTGCCAGTAATTAAGTTGCATCAGATGTAGGAAATGACTGATGTGTCTTTTGTGCTCACGATAGCAGAGTTCACTCTGCTGCCATTTGACTGACCCCCCTTTATGTAAGCAAAAGGAATTTTCTTTTAAGGAAAATCAGCTGTTTTTACACCTTTGTTTTGTTTTCTGAACTGCTAATCCCCTGAAGGTATAGAAGCTATTTGAAAGAGCAAGTCAAAGCTCCAGTAATTTAGTGTTATATTATTTGCTGATGTATGGTTTGATTTAGTGGCTACTTATTATATCAGGTTACCATATAATTATCTTAATTATTGACTCCAGAAGTAAGTAGAGGGATTATGAGAGAGACAGAAAGGCCCAGTGGAAAGAGCATGGTTCAGAGAATCGAACACATCTTGGTGTGCTCTTGGCTCCACCACTCATTTTCTCTGAGCCTGAACTCTTCCCTCAGCCAGCCTGGCCATGAAATCAGGATGGATTGCAGAGACAGGACTCAGATGCTTAGCCAGGATTCAAAGAGATGCAGGAGAGCAGTATAAAAAGAACAGAGGAAGGTTCTGAAAGACAGTTGTAAAATTAGCAGAAAAAATAAAAGAATACTCACCACAGCATGCATTTGTGTCAAGGAGATGTGGGCATGGAGAAGGGTGGTTTTGCCATGAAGGCTTGAAATTTGAACCTGCATTTCCAGCCTCTGCTACTGATTCTCCCACCAACTCCCCCCTCCAAAGTTACACAGCCCTCAGCCCTCTTTCTGCAAAATAAGGATGATAAAAATCATCCTCCTGTCTTTGGTTTTAGCCATCAACATTATTGGAGTACAGTTCCTCACACAGCCTTCAGCCTTCAGCCATGGTTCTCATGACATTGTGGCCATTTTTGGCTTTTAGTCTCCTAGTCCTTTGTCTGATAACCATTGACCTAAGCCAAAGGTTTGAGTTAGCAGGCACCACTGCAATATAAAAAAGGCTGTCAGGGCAGTCCATACTTCCTGTATTGATAATATTTGACATATACTGACAAAATACTTCATCTATGGACAAGCTGAGTTGTATCTTTTTCTCTAAGAGAGGAGCAAACGTGCTGGTTCTGTTCAGCCTGTGCAAATTACTTTCTCTGGTGTTGCTTTTCTTTCCTGAGCCAAAAAATGGGGATAATAGGATGTATCTATTTCCTTCCTAGAAAAGATCAGCTAATGTGAAATGGCGCATGGTGGCTTAGTGCTGAATAAGTGGGATACCCTAATCCAGCAAGGTATCCTTGTTCTATTGTACGCCTTTTCTGCATACCATCTGGAGTTGTTCTCTGCTTAGTATTTTCAGTATGTACCATATGTTTTTGCATGAAAATTCAATAAAATATGCATTATACATGAAAAGTGCTGTAGTAAATAAAGGAAGGATGGAATCCAGTCCCCTTTGTGAACGGCAGGGGCCCCAAATCTTCATAAAAGGTTTAGTCTAGTCTGACGTCTGTGCTTTTCTCCAATTTACTCTGTGTCAGTCTTTAGGAGATGCTCTAATTTAAAACAAAACTCCACTTTCCTGATGAGGTTATTCGATGTTCTTTGGCTGCCCTCTGCTGAGAGCACTGAATAAGACAGGGAAAATATCCTCTTTCCAAGGAAGGTTACATTGGAAGAAATTCCCGGTTTATCCATGTGCTGAGTTCTGTCACTGCTGCTGGTGGTCACCCGTGGTTTGGTGTCTCTCATTGTCTCTTTGCTTCCAGAGTGAAAAGTCTTCTGAGCTACAGCCCTATTCAGGTTTTAGTGCCTACCACTCATTGTCAAGGGCTGGGTGGCTTTGTACACTTATGAAAATGTGGGTTCAGGCATTGACCACTATGCAGAATTAAGCATTAAACAAGGGGTGGCCGCAGGAGGAAACAGACTTCTCTACCCAGGCACTATTGCAGTCCTGCCAGGTGGGATTTGAGCTGTACCTCAGCACCCCCCTTCTTGGCAGAGCAATTTGCCACTGTCTGCCGCTCCTCATCGGGGTGCCCATTTCTTCCAGTGCCACTTCCACCCCTCTACAGGCATCACAGCACTAGCTCTTTGCTTTATTTCTATAACTGGGAAGGGGCAAAGGGTTTGTTCCAACATCAACAAGAGTAACTGCAGGACTTGCTGTGAACAAAGTGTGAGCTGTGCTCTTGTCTTTGGGAAGAAACAAGGGTCCTGTGCAGATTTTGGTGCATGTATAAAGATATAGCTCTGTTGTAGCTATTAATGCTCTGTGTAATACCCTGTTTTTAATACTTCCTAGCAAGTTGATTTATTATTATATCTTCATCTGGGCTGTGCACCAAAGCATTTTGATGATGAAAGGAATGTTATACACACATTTAATTACTGCCCACATTTTTGTATAATTTTATCATTTACTGTTTTAGATGAGACATCGAGTCCTTCTACAGGAAAGATGCCCAGTAAAAAACAGATGATTTAAAAGCTGATTTAAACAGATGATTTAAAGCTCTGAGATGAGTTTAGCTCTTAAATATGAGAAAATATAATTGTTCCTTTCTTTCTGCCCTTTCAGATGGTCCCTGATTACCAAAATGTACAAGAACTCCCTTATCTGGACATGGTGATTGCAGAGACATTGCGCATGTACCCACCTGCATTCAGGTATCTGGAGTTTTTTCCTTCTGATTCCACAGGATAGCTCCTTAGCTCTATAAAGTGAAAATCTGTTGTTGGAAGACCTATGGTCTCTTAGTCTCTGTGCTAACATCAATACTGCTTTGTGCATTTGAAAGATATAATGTGGCCTATTGAAGGAAAGCTGGCTAATTCTGGTATTTCTAAAGCGCTTTTTTACAGTGGGTTGGCCAAGGTTGCTTCCTCACCATTCTCCACATCCCCCAAGGTTAGAGGATGGAGCCATTTTGAAGCAGGCCTGGCCTTAGAAAGCCAGATGCTGCTTCTTCTGTGTGCATCAAGCTTCAGAGATACAGACCGAAGACCTGCCCTAGCTTATTGGTCATTAAGGCCCTGATCTGTGGAGGGTTGCACATCCAGAAAACTGTATTTTACATGTGTATTTAACTTCAGCACATTTTCACTTAGTACTGCATTGTACTAACATAGCTAAACTAATGGCAATATCCATTAACTTTTGAAAGTTTTGTCCTGATTCACACAAGACTAATTCTACTATGTTGATGAACTGAAAACAAGGGAAAAAGAAGTTAGAAGATTGTTTGATGAAGTTCTGACTTATCACAAACATAAATACAAATGTTAAGGAATGGAACTTTTCAAAGTCATCGGCCCGTTGCACTGCTTCTTGTGAAGCTGGAAACACATAAGTGATTAAAGCAACAGGGGTCTTTGAGTTTTGTCTGTATCACTGGGAAACAATTAATGTTTGTCAGATGGGAAAAAGAATGAGAATGGAGCAAAGTTATTCTGAAATTTTGGTTGGCATTTTCAGTGCTGTTTATTGACTTGGCTTTTACTCTGACGGATGTGGAATGGATAGGACAGCCCAGTGCCTCTGAAAGATGTTAATTGCCTATGACAACGGTAATGCTGAGTTAGGGGAAAAATCAGTAGCAGCCAAGTTTCTTATAAAATGAGTTGGTTTTCTTTTTTTTAATGAACTTACTATCCAGAGAACTTTCTTCCACAGAACTCATGTTTCCACTATCACCAAATTCATGTAAGAATGAAAAGAATAGCTTGTCAATGCATTTTTTTAGCATACCAGTGTTTTGTTGCAGGTTTGGAGCCTTTGTTATTTATTTGTCTGAGAAAGAGAGATGGGTGACAGCAAGGAAGGAATGTGTTTCTGTAATGATACCAGGCTGACAGCCCTGAAACTGAAATCTTTATTCAACTTTTTAAGCAGAGTGTGGGAAGCAGGAAAGGGAGCTCCTGCACATTGTCTTGCCCCTGTGCTCGCAGCTGGTGCCAGGGAATAGCTCCCAGACTGAGACAGCAGGGCACCCACCTGGCTCTGGGCTGATTTGGGATCTTTAGTGACCACCGAAGCACCAGATGTTCTAGATCAGAACCTACCACCACACATGCACACCCACACACAATTTTTTGTAAGGTTTACAGACCCAAGCTTGGCTTTGGCAGGTGGCTTTTTTCAGTCTTCTTGTCACAATGAGGTTTCTCTGGACAGTCCTACTCTGTCACCTGTCACCAGGGGGTGGGAGGAAACTGCAGAGTTTTTTTGCTAGCATCATGGCTGTCTTTGATGCATGTATGTGAAATGAGGTTTTCCAAAGCTTATGAATTAGTTGTATTTTTGTAGTGGCAGCTGCAGCAGAACACCTAGCCCTAATATTACATCTCTTGCTAAGTTTCAGGTACCAACGTGGGGGAGCTTCTCAAATAAACCAACTCAAAACTATATTTGGTATCCTTTTTGTTTTTCCTGAAAACAAACCAGCATATTCTTTGTACTTGTTTAATTAGAGATGATAGATACATCTCATCAGCAATTTTCATAAAAAATTAGTCTAAATCCAACATTCACAGTAAAGTTGCAGTTTAACAGTTATTGCCTTGGAAAATGGTACATAGTCACAAATTCTTCCCTTTGAAAAGGGCAAAGATTAGCTGTCTGGGCTGGAGCTATGGGCTTCTAGATGGAGAGGACACCTGAGAAGACACTAGCATCAGCAACAGTTGTCGTATTTATCTACTGAGAAAGTGTTACTCTGGAAATTGTAGGGTCAGCTGAAGAGATTTACTTTTATAGATCTCTCCTGCTGTGTTTTTAACCTTTATTAATCATATAGGATACATGACATTGCAGATTCACTCGGGAAGCAGCTAAAGACTGTGTAGTGCTGGGGCAGCATATTCCAGCTGGGGCTGTCATTGAAACTGCAGTTGGACACCTCCACCATAACCCTGAGTTCTGGCCAGAGCCTGAGAAGTTCATTCCTGAGAGGTATGTGGAATAATGCTTTTCATTCTTAGATTGAAGTTCTTATTTGGACCTGTTTAGATCAATGTTAAATGCTGGTTTATGCATTAGGATGTGTACAGAACTCCAGCCTGTCCAGTGGAGACACCAGATCCTGCTGCTCTTTCACAGTCACAGTCACTCACAATTCATCCAAAGCAGTATTTCCACCAAGAGTGGAATTTAGTTTAATTTAGACCATAAAATTATGTTATTTCTACCAAATTAGACAAACGATGATAGTGGCGCATCCCACAGAGGGTGTGAGATTTGGTCAAGGTTGAAACGTGAGATGGGTTTTCAGACCCATTTCCAAATCAGATACTGTGAATAATGTCTCTTCTGGATGCAGAAATTCTGAAGCGAGATAGTATATATTCACTGACATGGATGTTCCTGGGAAACTCATCCAGTTCCTGGCTGGTTTAGAGCACCCTTTTCACCTGAAATCTTGTAATGGTGTGGGTCCTCTGTGAGTGGGGAACCTACCCCATCTACCACAGGGAATTTGCTCTCCATCTGTTAGTTAGGATCCTTGGTTCTTTCTTGGCAAGACATACATACTTTCACATGGAGCATTTATTCTCTTCAGCTGGTAGGGGGACAGTGGCAAGTTGTGGTTTTGTACCATGCCCTGTCTTACAGATGCTGAGTTGAGCTTACAGGGAGAGTTTCAGCTGATGTGGTGCTGTGTAGAAGCACAGTTTAGTTTTGTGGACAGATATGTTTTTAAGCTGTTTTGTGGGCAGATACATTTTAAGCTACCACTACACCGAAAAGTTTACTAAGTAAAAAAAGTGACTGTTCCACAAACAACTGGGTGTGAGGCAGGCAGCCCAGAACCACCTTTGCCAGTAAGACAACACATGTATGGAGTAGGTGGGTTTGCCTAATGCTTCTTCTGGAACAAATCTAGGCATATGCTCTGTCAGGCTCTTTTGGCCATGAAGAAGAGCATTTTCAGGGTTAGAGAAGCCCAGAAATTTTGCTGGAGAGGAATCTTAGCAGTAACTGGAAGTCTAGGGTGGGTTTTTTTAGTAATGCTTATCTACAAATGTTTTCTTAATTGTTTATTCACCACTTCAGTGATAGCATGAAAGCACATTAAGGAGTGAAATGGACAGTGGGGGCTGCAGTCCCCTTGACTCACACAGTGCTGTTATAATGAATCTGAGATTAATTCCCTTTGGAAACTTCCTGAGGAATGATGTATAATTACTAACATTCTCCTTGGATTGTATCATTTGGTAATGTTAGTAAGAATTACAAAATAAGAGCTTAACAAAAAATAAAATAATTTGTCTACAGCCTTTTTTACCCCTAATATTTATTTTTGAAATCGGCCTTTGGAATAATATAGGGGAGACTTTAAATTTACCAGAATGATATGTGGGGGTGAGCAAGGCAAGAATTGCATTAACCTATTTGGATGGGATGTGCAACAGTATATAAGTTAATGGTCCTTCATTCTCAAATTACAGGCTTCTATAGTACTTTTTGGAGTAGTAACTCGATCTTATTTAGGATATCTAAGCATGGAGATGGGATTAGTGGAAATACATAATATTATTTTTTTCCAAAGCTCAAAATAACCTGTATTACATCTCATCTCTTTCTACCCTGCATGAGTTCTCTGGGCCTTAGCAGTCTGAAGTTCTTGCAAACTATATCCAAAGAGATGAGAGATTCTCAGGGATGACCCCATACATGAAGGCAGAACCTGTATCCATACACAGAACTGGAAAAGTACTTTCGTAGTAGAAGAAAAGTTCCAAATACCTTAGGACATGGGAGGATTATGTAGATTTCCAGGGTAATGCCAGGGTAAAGGTTTGCTTCTTTCGAGGCACCACTCTGAGTAGTGACTCAAAAAAGCCCAGGATTAGCCTGACCATGTTGATTATGCATTGGCCCTAATAACTCGTACTGACTCAGACACTGTATTCCTGTCTGTATATATTTTATCCAATAGGCATTCATCTTTGCAGATGTTGGCCAACAGATTTTACTTTTTTTTTTTCCCTTTGAACTGCTGTTCAAATAGGAATTTTGTTTCCCTCGTGGAAAAAAAAAAAAGGCTCATTTCTAATGGGCTGATCAAGTATTTTAAAGCTAGCTAATTGATGCAGATCTGCATACAGATTAACACATTAATCAGTCTTTCCAGCTGGACTGAGGTACTGAGATGGCTCAAAGAACAGAACCGTGTGCAATTTTAATGTTTCCCAATTGTGAACCTGGTCTCTTTAGGCCAAGAGCAGAGAGAAGGGCTGTACTGAATTTGTAATAACCATCTTCCATGGCCTGTCCAATGCCATGAGATTTCATCTCCCCTTACAAGCTTCAAAGAGCAATTCCTGTTGACCTTCATCTGCAGGGCACAGCAAGGAATGCTGTTGCTAATTCTATTCAGTTCAGGTTGCAGCCTGTTAGTTTCCTCTTAGCTGTAATTTCTCCCTCACATGTGCAAAGGTGTGAGGGACATGTCCCTAATCACCCTAGCACCTGAAGTTATCATTCTTCTGGGCATGGTCCTCAAATGAAGGCAAGTTGTGAAAGATAGATTGGAAGTAATACTCATGTCTGCATGTCCTCTCCTGAAATCACCAGCTGACAAAGGCTGATGGCTGTAAGTCAATTATCTGTTTACTTAAGATGTCAGGACATAATCTGTCAATAGTTCCCCTGACCTGTCTATTAAGACCAATTAAAATAACCATATTTTGAGATTTAAATGAAAATAATGGAATCAGGAGCAAAAAGCATTCCTTGAACTGGTTTCCATCTCTGCACTCTTTAGGTTTACAGAGGAGGCCAAGAAGAAACGACATCCCTTTGCATATCTGCCCTTTGGGGCAGGACCTCGTGGCTGCATTGGCATGAAAATGGGTTTGTTAGAGACAAAAATGACTCTGCTGAGGATTTTGCAGAAGTTTCGATTCAAGACCTGCCCAGAGACTGAGGTTTGTACATGCAGGGAGGCTAAAGATCACACTTGTCAACTTGAGAGAGTTGACAGTATATCTTAGACAGAGGGCAACTGATTTGCCTTTGTGACTTCATTTGAGAAAACTGCTAGAGACACTTTCATAATAAGGAGGGACAAGAGGCCTGGACTGCATGTTTTAATCAAAATATGATTCAAGATATGTGATTTTTCCAACAAAAGAAATGGTTACACAGCCCTACCTTAGTGGAGAGCAGTATAACAACACCACAGTCAAAATATCTTGTTTATAGAGGGTGAGAATGGGTGTACATGCTTCATAGGATCTCAGCACTTTAGTATATGCCTATTGCTATGTACATTGCACCTGGCATTTACTCAGCAGCTCTGGAGTTTACAGAGTTAATTTCTTCCTGTTCAGATCTACAGTATACCTGGGCAACCAATGCCTCAGCCTCTGGCTGTAAATTCTATTTAATATTATGTTAGCGCAGCTGACTGTAGAACAAGTACTTTACAGCTTCTGCAGTAATCCTGGTATGAACTGGTCTCCCAGCAAAAGTGTCTGTCTGTTTATGGGGGTGTTATACACACAGAAACAAACACATACAACTGTACATAAGATGCTCTTTTTTCTTTCAGATTCCTTTGCAGCTCAAATCAAAAGCCACACTTGGACCAAAAAATGGAGTCTACATTATGCTAGAATCTCGCTAAAAGAAAATGTACATCCTGAAGCCTACTGGGATGAGCCCCTTTGTTAGTGACTCACTAACAAAATATAATTATTTTTCAAAACCCCAAAGACAGCTAGGAGCCCAAGTCCCACTGATGGTCAGTAGGTGCTTCCTCAGTGCCCTCCTGTGGGAGAGCCCCCAGTCACCTTTTAAAATGGGCTCCACAGTCTTTTTTGGCAGTTTTCAAATTACTGTGAATAGCATCTGAAAAGTAGCATCCCACTTTCACTTGCTTTTCACTTCCTTTCACTCATCTTTGAGAATGCTTTCCTCCTGCTCAATTTCAACAAATGGAGCAGGTGTTAAGAGTACAAGCAATTTAAAATAGATTTTAATTACAATTCATTATATGGCACGTCCTTCTCATGCACTTCAAAGTTTCTACTCTAGAGAAAGCCCAAAAGGCACCACAATTACAACAGAAAACCTGGGATGCAGTGCATTGGATTTTGTCATCAACTCTGCTAACAATCAAAGCTGAGGCTCCTGCACAATGCTTAATCTCTTCCTGTGTCTGTAAAATGGAAAGAGTTGCACCTCCCTCATGCTTTGAAGTGATTTTATATACACTTAAATTAACAATTTGCACTTGGCACGTTGCATTGATGCAATGAGGAGTTTCCTGCTTACCAGTTAAGTTCCAGTAGCTAAGACCAAGGAAATGAGGTGACTGCCATTTCGCTGGCTACTGAACTGCTGTTGGAAAACTGGAGAAAAAGAAGATGCAAATTTAAAGCAAGCAGGAAGACTGAAGGAAATTGAAGGTTAATCAGAAGGTGTTGTTACAACATCTGCTTCGTGATGAGGCTTTTCCTTTCCAAGCGCTGAAGTTGGCACTATTCTTGTCTAGCTCCTTGACTCAAGGAAATTAAGAGCCAATGTTAAAGGAGTGGGATCCAGGATCATCAGTCCCAGCAGCTCTCTTGTCACCTTATGTGACCCTGGAGCAGCTCATGTCCCAAGTGCCTCACTCGCCTCAGGAAGGAACTTGTCTGATTTCCAGCTGCAGCAGCACCGTGGATCCATTCAAGCTTTATGACTGTGCACATGCACCTTCACAGCCAAAATGGCTGTACACTTCCAGTCGTCAGATTTTCTCCCTGCTCTTTCCTACTTCTCTACAAAGCCCTTCAACCACCACACAGCTAGTGGAGCAACACACAGCAGGGATCAATTGACAAGGAAAAACCCCACACCTTTCCTTCAGTGGGTGCCACAGACTGGTTGTCTGTACAATTGTGCTGGTTTTGTCTCAGATAATTTTCTTCATAGCAGCATGGGGCTCTGTTTTGGATTTGTCTTTCATTATTAGCAGTGCTTGAACAGAGTTGAGGCCTTTTCTTCTTCTCACACCACTCCATCAGCAAGGAGGCTTGGGGGTGGACAAGCAATTGGGAGGGGACACAGCTGGGACAGCTGACCCCCACTGACCACAGGGACATTCCATACTGTATGGCATCATGCTCAGCATATAAATCTGGAGGAAGAAGAGGGAAGGGGAGGACATTCGGAGGGATGGTCTTTGTCTTCCCAAATCACTGTCATATATGCCAGAGCCCTGCTGTCCTGGGGATGATGGAACACCTGCCTGCCCATGGGAAGAAGTAAATGAATTCCTTTTGTGTGTGGCTTTTGCTTTACCTATTAAACTGTCTTTATCTCAACCCATGAGTTTTCTCACTATTACTCTTCTGATTCTCTCCCTCAGCCCACTGGGGGGAAGTGAACCAGTGGCTCTGTGGGGCTTAGTTGCTGGCGGGGGTTAAACCATAACAAAACCATGAGAAGTTGATGCAGTCTCCTTTTTTTTTTTTTAATTCTGTCCTTTATTTTTTCTTTAAAATTTTTGTATATAACAAAAACTCTTATGGCACTATAAAAATAAGGAGGCAGCTTTGGTTCTTTGCAAGCCTTGACCTTCTGCCTGCTTGATGTACTCTGCTTGAGGTTTCCTTAGGTACAGCATCTCTCTTTGTGGTATGCACAGAGAAGTGTCACAGCAGCAGGAGGAAGAGACTGACTGCTCATCTTCATTGCAAGGATTTCTGGAAGGAGCCATCTGTGCACTGATCCCCGGCTAGGTCCCTATCTTTTGCTGCCTTCTTCCCACATGCTGCCTGAACACTGATCAAATTACTGTATCTTGTTTCTCAAAGATTGTGTCTTTCTCTGTCGTGTTTTTTGTGTTTTGTTTGGTTTTGGTTTTTTTTTAACCAGAACTGTATAGGTACTAGTGATGAAGTGCTGACCTGGCAGTCTTGGAATAGTTTCTGTTTCTATGGAGCATCTCTGGCATGCTAAACAGTAGTGCCCTGTTACAGACACACTGCTTATATGAATTGCTGATGGAGTGATTTTTATTTATTTAAAAAGCAACACACTGTATATACCTTAGTTTCTACACATTATCCATAATTTTCCCTCCTTGAAAATAGTGTGCTGGAGGCTGATTTACTGTATACCTTATACATACAGTTGGCAAAAAGCTGGAGGGACCTTGCCTAAAAACATCTCACCTACTTGAATGAGCAGAAAGCTTATTCCATCTGAAGTCAGCTGCCAAAGGCTTGTTTGTTTTCCTTACATGAATTAGAGGGTTGATGTGTGCTTCATTTTTGACAAAATACTCCATCCTTAACCGAGCTTGTCCCTTTTTAAGATATGATTTTACATAGACTCTCCTTCCCAGTCCCTGCCTCTGCAACTGGGGCACTTAGCAGTGAAGATCGGGGCAAAAAAAGTCATTGAGTACCTCAGCCTTCTCCATGTCCTGGGTAAACATATCTCCTGTTTCCATCCAGAGGGCCTACATTTTCCCTGGTCTTCCTTTCATCACAGAGATACCTATGGAAGCTTTTTTTTTTGTAGCCCTTAATGTCTCTGGCCAGATTTATTTCTATCAGGGCTTGCTTTAGCTTTCTTAACTTGATCCCTGGCAACTTAGAGTTTCTCTGTATTCATCCCAGGCTACCTGTTCTTGCTTCCTTTTTGTGTTTCAGTTTGTTGAGGAACTCCTCATTCATCCATGCAGGTCTCCTGATATTGTTGCCTGACTTCTTTGTTGTGATGCATCACTCCTGATATTGGAGGAGGTGATCCTTGAATATTAACGAGCTTTCCTGGGCCCCTCGTCCCTCCCTTTAGTCCTTACCTATAAGCTCTGGGTCAGCTCCTCATCCATCCATCCCCAAGTGGAGCTCCATGCCCTCCACCTGGTCATTGACAGAGGGCAACACTCCCTTCTCATCAGGCTTGGAAAATGAACTAAGAGTATTTCCCAGCTGCGTTCAAGTTGAAAATGGACAGTATGTGTGCAAGTAAACTGCCTTGAGTCTGTGATAACATTTTTTCAACTGTTCTGCAAAGTTTTCTGGTTAGGAAGTGTTATCTGTTTTCACCTGTCAGTTTGTAGTAGTAGGGAATAGAGGAATTATTTTTGCATCTGAAGTCAGATTTCTGGAAGTGCATCAACCCTTGTTCTGCATGCAGACTGAGAGAGACAGCTAGAAAAGACAGAGCTGCCAACTTTCCAGTAATATAGGAAGAGCCCCAAGCCATTTGTTCCTTTTAAATAACAGTTGGTGGTACACTCACCAGACACTGCACAGACACGTACCAAGATGTTTAATGACACTGGACCTCACCGTAGTTGTGTGAGCTCAGTGACATACCTAAAGAGCAGGCTGTCTTGAGGGATCAGCGAGCCCTCTGGAAGCACACATTTGCAGAAAAACAAGACACTAAACTGCCAGCAGTTCTCCAAAACAGAAACTAGTAATATCACGATAACCAGTGTGTTTGTGCACTCATATAACATGGTCCCACATTGATCCTGAGCAGAGTTGGCTTTAGAATTAATTAACAAAAATCCAAAAAACACAACCAAAAACAACCAAAAAAAGAACCCAAAATCTGCCAAAAAAACCCCAAAATTCAGTCAAGAGCAGTTAGGTTTAGGGAGGAACAAAGAAACCAATTTAAACTAATTTCTTTCCTCAGAAACACTAAGTGTGTTGTCTTGCATTGCTGAGCTGTGGGTTTGTTTAAAATTGGGCACGTCTGTGTTACAAAAGGGTTTTAGTCATTCTCTGACAGCTGATACAAAGCAAAAGCTGCTTGGTAAAGGAAAGCTTCTATTAAAAACATCTTCTGATCTTTGTAATGATTACAGAAAGCTGTCAGTATAAAATGGTATTTTTAATAAGGCTGCTGATAGGAAAAAAGCTTTACAGTTTTGTACTTTATAAATAGTATTCCTAGAAAAGCAGAGTTGCATGTTAGAAATCATTATGTTTCACTGATTGCAAATTTGAACTATCTGTTCTTATCTGGCATTAAACTGCCAGATAAACTGCAGAATTTTCTCTCTGTGTGTGATACTTTTAGGAAATGAGCACCTTCTCATTTCCTTTTGTTAAACATCTTGGACACAGCCTCACCTGATACCAGACTCCTCCAAGTGTTTACAGCAGAAAACCTGGTAAAAGAATTTACAGCTGACTTATAAACTGTGTCATTGCTTGGTTCATACTGGCCCTGCTCACCTTCTTCTGACCCTGATGAGTCTCACTCGTCTCCAAGGTGTTTTCTCCCTGCACTACTGGATGCTGGGGCTCCTTTCAAGGAGGGAGGGTTCTCTCACTTGATAGGATTTTTGCAAGTAGAGATGAATTCATGACTGGGCCTGAAGAAAGAGGTGCAAGGGAGCTGTGGAGGCCCAGGTACTCTATCCCTTGGTAAAACAGGTAAGCATCAGTAATCCTGGCCATGTTACAGCCATCCCACCTGGATTTTGTGCTGGACTTATTCCAAGTTAAGCAGCATTTCTGCAACTCCCACTTGCCCTTTGGCCCAAAGGTAGCTCTGAGCAATGGTTCCCAGAAGTAAAGTGCAGACTTTCTCCAAGCCAAGCAGCGCTGAGCACATCACCATAGCTGGTATGTGCCATCCACCCAAGATCTTCTTCTCCACCACCCCCTACTTTACCAGGCTGCAGGTATCTGAACCAGATAGCATACTGCCACTTAGACAGGATTTTGACACCCACATCTTATAAAATCTGGGCAGAATAGCATCACAAACCTGGTTACAGGTAAAACTCATTAAATAGTGCAGTGTGTTGACTTTGGTGGGCTGCCAGACCCTTTCTCAACCCAGCAGGTGGGGAATTAGGGGTTCATAAAGTACCATCCTCCATACAACACTGCTGGCATAGCAAAGCTGTTTGGCTTCTGCTGGCTTTGCCGTCTGTCTTGCCTGGATGGACCTGTTACCAAAAAAGGAAACAACCTTCACAGCTTATCTTTCTCCTCACACAGCGTAGGAATGAGTGACAGATTATTACACTGTTCCTGCTCAGTTTCTTGTCTTAAGCAGCCAAAAGATATCCTCCTCACTCAGAAAAGAAGTTCAATATTACTTTTGGTCTAAAGTTTAGATTTAATGCAAACATCTCTTTAATCTGTTCATTTCCAAATGCAATCCAAACAGTTGTAAAAGGACTACTACTGCCTCTAAGAGTTTACAAATACTCACAAGTGTATTGAAACAGTATTGACAGAGAGAAAATCATTACAAGGAATTTAGTGGTTTGAATACCTGTTTATTTACTACACACAAGAAAAGTTACCACTGCAGTTTCAGAAGTGGAAAACATGGCAACTTTTCTTTTTCTGTGTTAATGGAGAAATAACAGATGACAAAGTAGGACAACCAGGCATTTTATTTGTTGTTTCACTTACACACATACACACACACAAGCATACGTACATCCTCTCCAAGAATTAAGTTAAAGGTTATAAAAATATAATAAAAAAGTCAATTAAAAAAAATCAAAACTTTTTGCATTAGAAAGATTGTTTCAATTTTCTGGCAGAAGATTAACGTGACTGAAGCTATTCTAGTTCTTAGCTGAAATGCTGCTCATGTTGAGAGGAAGAAAGGCATCCTACTAGTATTTTCATTTGCCATGAACATGGGGTTTGTTTTGGACAAAAACCCTTATTCTGCACAGGTATTAAAGCTGTCATACATACATGTTATCCTTCTCAATGAATGTACTATTTGCTGACAAGCTCATTTGCTGACATGAGATTTATCGTCTGTGTTCTATTACAAGTCTTTCAGAAGAAATAATACAGTCAACTTGCTTTTCCATATCCAGTGTTTTACTGGGATTAAACACAAATGGGAGTTAAATTTTCCTTTAGGTAGCATGCTGCTAGTTTTATAGGTCACATAAAAAGGAGCCTTACTCCAGATAATCGTGGTTAAATTTCTGGTTCACAGTGCTGAAGTAATAAAGAGTTACCCAGTGTACACCTGTCAGTCACCATGCAGATGAATTAAAAAGAAGTGGTCCTAGAGATGAGCTTTTTTAGGTCATATAGAAAGTATATCTTAAGGCTTCTGCAGTACACTATAGCTAACCAGTACTCACCTACGCACATTAAATCTGTGATAAAGTATCTATCTATGCATCAGCAATTACATCTTATAAAAATACAGTTCAAGTCTTTTGATTGCACATATATATGCTGACTGCTCAACACTATTAACATCTTATGCTGGGAACAATTAAATATTCAACTTAATTTTCAGATTTTTAAGTTTC